CTCGGCGTCAAAAGGCCAGTCCGATTCGTCTAGGGAGGCTGTCAAATCAATAGGGGAAGGGACGCTACGGCCGTCAGGGAACGGCATGACAACTATCGCTACGTCCTAAGGGCGGTTCGAAGATCAAAGTGGTTTTTCCTACAAACACTAGATCTAACCCCCTAGGAAGCAAAATATAAAGAAAAGGAAGAACAAATTCAAGAATCTAACCTTGAACTTTTGAAGATCTGAAGAACACTTGACGATTTCTGGGAAGCACTTCTCTCTCTAAGAAATCTCAGCAGCAATTCAGCTCAACAAATCGCAAATGAGGGTAAGGCTTCGGAATGAGGGGGTATTTATAGAAAACTTCCAAACGGTCACTACACGTGGCGTCATCCCATTGGCTCCACCAACGGCCACCTCTCTTCCAACCAATCAAGGGGCGCCAATTCAAAATCACTCAAGCAAGCGCCCCTACGGCCCAACTCAGCCTTAAAAAAGACCAGGGCATCGGCCGAGTATCACTACGGCACAAGTACTACAGAGCTTCAAAGCAAGCGTCGGCCCATACGGCCGAAAAAGGAACGCATCGGCCTAACTCTACGTCCTCACAACGACCCAGAAAACCTTAACAGACCGCTACGGCCGCTTGTGCGTGCATCGTCGATGATAACCCTGGCATTGCGGCCTTCGTCCAAGGGTTCTCCCACAGGGTTACCTTGGCAGGTTCGCCTAAGGGTTGGAGTCGCGACTAACGCACAGGTGCCAAAACGGCTCATTACTCCCTTGTGCCTCAGATACTCTTCGGCCAAAGGAGTGGGGGACTGGGGGACTGCATCGGCCACAAGGAAAGAAAACGCAACGGCCTTAACGCAAAAAGGATGCGCTACGGCTCACCAGCAACAAAAGACGGACAATTCACCTCAGATAAGCATTAAGAGTCGCATCAGCTACCTCAATAGCATCACGAGTCGCGTCGGCCGCCAAACCCAAAATAAAAAGAAACTCACCATGCGAGGTCTAGCACGCAACGGCTGCGTACACTGAGAGGACCGTATCGTCTCACCATAACAAAAACTCACTAGTCAAAACGCTTCGGCTGCATGACAAATCAAAGGTGCGCATCGCATCGTCTACATAAACAGAATCAACCATCTTCATCTCATGAAAATAGGTCTTCGCTACGGCCAAAAGGATAAATGGGAGCTCTTCGGCCCCAACAAGATAACGACGAAAGCATGCCAACTTATCCACCAAGGATTCATCGCATCATCTACAAAAAGAAAGCGCATCGCCTCGTCTTCAAAGACACTCCCACAGAGTGTGCTTCGGCCCGCATCAAGACTATGAGTTCCCAAGCACGCTTCATCTACATCAAATAAGGGAACCGCTTCATCCAAAATCAAAACAGGAACTCTTCGGCCATCAAACGCCCTGGGCTCACGCAACGGCCAGCCAGAAAGGAACAAAGTACTCCCTTTCGCTTCGGCTTCACCTCAGCTCAGAGAGTGGGGGGACTCCTGATAGAGTATATGGGCCTGGACCCCATGGCCCACATACTCAACGGCCCAAAAGACACCAGCGGGACACCCGCATCGGCCAAAGGCACGTGACGCCCAAGGGAGAAGATATCGCCTGATTTCTATGGACCGCATCGTCAGTGAACCGCGTCGTCCATGGACCGCGTCGTCCATGGACCGCGTCGTCCATGGACCGCATCGTCCATGGACCGCATCGTCCATGGACCGCATCGTCCGGACTTCGTCCGGGCAGAATGTATTTTCCTATTTTTTGTACTAAGTGTTGTACTCAGCCCATTAGTGGCCTTATTCGCCCAAAGAAGGCATGATTATTGTAATGGGCCTCCTAAGCCCAAGGCTAGGGGCCCAAATCTACATTTTTACCTATAAATAGACCCCAAGGGGCTAATTATGGGGGATTCTTTCCAATTTGAGAAATATAATTGCTCACTTTCTCTCTCTAGCTCTCACTTCCCTCTAGAATTAATACTCTATCAATTCCATTCCATAGATTAATTCTTGGTCTTTATAATTTGTTCTTGCTCTTTTTCTTCAAGTTCTTGAGGAGGAAACTTCAACCTCCAAAATCATTGGTGTTTAGGTATTATTTCCTTTGCAATTTCATGTTCCATTACATTTCAATATTGTATTGTGATTAATATGAGCATTAGAGGCTAATTTCTTAGCTAAGACTAGGGATGAACCTCTATGCACACTAGGTGTTTGATAAAAGTTCTAAACCAATAAATTGTGATTTATCCTTTATATTTTGATTGTTTATGACTATCGTGTACAACCTAGAAGTATGTTAAATTTAGTTTATGCTTGCAATTAACGTTGAAGTCTAAACTATGAACATTAAAGGATAAACATATATAGTACCAAGAGTAGAAATATATCCGGTCTTATATGATACGGGTGTGATGTCTTGATATTCAACGGGGTTTTCGGTAGATGAATGTAAGCCGTAACGGGACTTACACGTAACGAAATCCACGCTCTCGCTGCCTTAACCGGAGTTGAGAATATATTAGCGACATCGTATTCATAATTATTGGGAAAGAACTATTATTAAATAACTATTAAAGCATTTAGGTGAATCCCGATTGTCTTAGTAATTCTAATTCTTGTTTAAACCAATCTCAAAGAGCAAAGTTCCTAAAAAAATATATCATTTACATTCTTTGCATTCAATACTCGACTTTATAATATCAACCATTTTCCTGTGGATCGACCCGGTATTTACCGGTATTTTATTACTACATCGCACTTGTATACTTGCAAGTTCAAACCGATCAAGTTTTTGGCGCCGTTGCCGGGGAAATGGTCTTGTTTTATAAAGTTCACAAACCTCAATTTTTTTCTCGCTTTTTCATGTAGTAGTGTTAGTTTATTTATTTTTTTTAAAACAAAAATGTGTGGTCATACTCATAAAAGTTCAAGGATCTAAGTAAAACTTTGGTCCCGAAGTTGAAAGAGTGTGCAAACACAAACAAAAAAAAAGTAAAAAAGTCCTTCACTAAATGAGATCAAGATGCCCGTTGTTGCCTATAATCCACATTTTCAAGCTAGAGACATAAAGTTCCCTAGAGTGAAGGAAATATCTATCGGTGATGTGCTTGATAGAAGATTCTTGAAGTTTGAAAGAACACTGAAAGAAAGCCTACAAACCGTCTTAGGAAACATTCTTCCTACACGAGAGTATGTTATTCAACCTGAGGAGATCAATTACATGAACTCCTATGATGAGTGGGGGAATCATGGAGGTAATAACTACTACAACTCTTCTAATGAACAAAAGGGCAACCAAGACAACAATTGGAATCTGCAAGGGAGTTCTTCAAACTTTCAGTCCACCATGGAAGAGATGATGACGTTTCTTACCACAAGTGGCCGGTAATATGGCAATATGGCCGAAGGCTCCAAAACTCACAGGGCAACCAGATTTGAGCATACGAAGCTACCGAGAGAAAATGTCAGGAATCAAGAGCCTTCGCCACTTTCGTGCCCTCAGCATCAGGGGAGCCTTCGTCTGAACCAAGCCTTCGGCTACACAAAGCCCTCGGCCACAGGAAGAGCCTTCGGCTAACAGCTCAATCATCGAAGATTCCCTTTGGAGACAAGCAATCACCGCATTTAATGCGGCGTCACGTCCAACCACCGCATTTAATGCGGTGCACGTGCGAGTGCCGGTGCCCCCCTCGAGTGAGGTGACCCCTCGACCGTTAGATTACTGACACGTGTACTCTCATCGCATTTATTGCTGCTATAAATAGCAGCCCCTATTTCTCTTGTAAAGGACCAGAACATCTCGAGTTCATTAATACAATCGACTCTCTCTCTTACTTGTTTGCACTGACTTCTCTCTAGGTTATTCTCATAATAACCCCTCGGATAAAATCACTTTTATCTAAAGGAAAATCACTTTTTAAAGGAAAATCACTTTTTAAATATGCTTTTGGCAATCTTATGAAAAAACATAAAACAACTCACACTACTGAACAAAGCGCACTTAATGAGATTGCTTTGTATGAAAATTATGAGGTAGAATTTGACGAAAATGAGGAGTTTGACGTTCTAAAGTGGTGGAAGTCAAAAGAAAGAATGTTCCCGATTTTGGCACGGATGGCTAAGCAAGTGCTATCAATGCCGGTTTCAACAGTTGTCGTGGAACAAGAATTTAGTTCGGCCGGCAACGTTCTAACGTCATCTAGAACGAGTTTGAGCGCTGAGTGACTGAGTCTCTTGAGACGCTTATATGCTACCACGATTGGTTGAAGGTCATACGTAGAAGTGTAGAACTCAAGAAATTAGCATCACCCCCTCCCAAGACTTTATGGATGAATCAACAACCGAAGGTGGCTCCTATGCCGGAGATTCCGATTGATTAGTATTTTACAATTTATTATAAAATGTATTTCATAATGTAAAGTTGTAAATATGTAGTTCATATTTCAAATAAATATGTAACTATTGTAAGTTTTAATTTTTCTCTCAATTCTCTATTGTAATTTGTAAAGTTGTAGTTCTTATTTCAAATAAATATACATTCTTTTATTTTATATGTAGCACTTCTCAAATTAATTAATTACAAACTTACAACTTAGAATTTATTGTATCAGTATTTTTTGAAAAATGTATTTCATATTTAAGTTGTATTAATAAGTAAAAAAAATACATGGGCCCAACCCGACCCGGCGGGTGGCCTGGCCCAGGACCCGGGCGGGTGACCCGGCCTGAACCGGCATCGGGCGAAGGACGGGCCGGTTCCGGGCCCCCAATCCAGGACCGGAGGCCCGACCGGACCCGAACTGACCCGAGTCCAGGACTACTTTTGGTGATATCATGTATCGATTCATGTTAGCCGACCCCAATACCGTTTGGGACTAAAGCTTGGGTGTTGTTCTTGTTGTATGGTTGAAGAAAACTCTAGGCTAAAAAAATGATCAGCAGTGGAAATCATTTGGGATTTGGGACTAAGATAATGGTATGTACAAAAAGGATTTAACCAACTGTAAACACAAAAGAGAACATAAAATGAGTTCGATGATCATGCGAAAATTTCATCAATTAAAACGGAGTCAAATTTTACATTAATTAATTCATTACCAACAACAAAAAAGAAAATAAATACTTGAACATAGAATTCATCCACTGTTATGTCTTTGCGGGGTCCTTAGTCCTTACTTTTACTAATTCACAATTTCTATCCCAGTAAATGGTGACCCTTCATGAAGCTGAAGAGCAACATCTCCTACAATCTGGAAAGCAGTATAACATAAATATCAGCAAAGTAATATAATACAAATATCATACGATAGTATGACATAAATTGATCAACGTTCTGCAAGTGTTTTCTACTTCGGAACGTCAACTCTCTTGATCAAGACACAAATCACATTTTGGGTCTATTTGAACCAAGAAAGGAATGGGGAAAGAAAATAATAATATGGAGGAAAATCGGCAGGAAATAAACTTTGGAGCAAAAAAAGACAAGAAAACCAGGAAAAGAAATATGGAGGGAAATGGAGAGGGCAATTGAAAGGAAAAAACTTGGGGAAAAATAAAAGATGCACTCAAACTCAACAATTTTATAGTGAGTACTTTCTCAAAACACACTTTCTTAATGTATTTCTACTATACAAAGACTAAGAAATCTTAGAGTATGCAAGAATTAAGGAATGCAATTTTAGTATGTTTGGATCTACATTGGAAAATGAAACATCTCCATATATCTTTGTTTTGAAATCATTCAAGTTATTTAGATATTTTTGTCTTGACACCTATGTAGCACGGAAACTCTCAAGAAAGAGTACGTTTCTGTTTCGGAATCCCTACATAAACTCTTTGGAAACTCTCCAAACAAACCCTTTTTGAGCAAAAGTTGACGTTTCTCGTTTGCATTTCCTCGTGACTTTTGTGTTTCCTTGCAACATAGCTTCACACCATACATAATAGATAAATAAATAAATAAAAATGGGTATTAACAAATCTAAAATAAACATATCAAGTTCTCAACGTTTTTTCATTCACAATTTCCTCTATTTTTTCCTTCCTGTTTTATTTCAGTAGTAATTTTCCAAAAAGACCCTTCCATCATATGGAAGGATTGTATCATATACCCTATACACTTTCATCTACCAGCCTCAAGTATAACATTGACATTTTAATTACCCAACACCAGTGGGAAAATAAAGCAAAAGAGAAATAATAATACTATCTAACAACAACAACAACAACAACAACAACAACAATTTTAAAACAACAACAGCAATAACAGTAATAATAATAACTTGATCGATGATCCATTTAAAATCCACGTTCGAGATGTACCTTGGCCATGCTCCTATATGACAACTCAGTGACGCCTGCAACATGGGGTGTGAGAATGACATTTGGAAAGTTTAGAATGACATTTTCAGGATCAAATGGTTCAGTCCAAGCAACATCCATTCCTAAACCTCCCAAGTGTCCACTTTTCAAATGATTAAAAACAGCATCATAATCCAAGAGTCCGCCCCGAGCTATATTAACTAGCGTAGCACCCTGACAAAGGCGTAAGAAAAAACCATAGTATTTATTGATGTTACTCACACGTGATATATATACAAATATTACTCATAGCAATGGTTCAACATCAATGAGGGTGAACAGATGTTTTTTTAACAAAGAACATTCTTTAACGGGTTATGGCTTCACTGTACCTTTCTCATTGAAGATAAGAAATCATCATTCACTATCCCAGCCTGCTTGAATAAAGCATTATAACAATCAATTTCACTAAAGCATAGGGCGGTGTTTGGAACTCCAAAATTTGCAGGGAAAAGAAAAACAAAATATAAACGAAAGTAATTTGACTATGTTTTGATTTGCCTTGAAAATAAGAAGTAAAATCAAAACAGACTAAACTATTTTGAAATTTTACATGTATTTCGGGTTCATAGTCTTTATGTAATTGAAATATATAAACAAAATGAGTTGCACACATATCTGAGTGAGATTGAACCAATTTCGGGTTCAAACTCAACTAGTTTATTTCCAATATTAGTTTTATTTCTACTATATACTTCCTCCGTTCTTTATTAAGTGTCCTACTAGGTTTTTCGCAGTATGTAAGGGGAAAATAGTAGGGGTAATATAGTGTGTGGCAGTTTTTTTTGGTAAAATGATAAGGTAGGAAAGAATGTATTATGAAATGTAATAAAGTGGGTGTAGAAAAAAAATATTGAAAAAGTATGAAAGCAAATGCACTAAGAAAAGTAATTAAATGAGTGGAGGGGGAAATTAATGAAAAGTTATGAAAGAGAAAGTAGTTTGCAAAAAGTACAAAAGTGATGGTAATAAAAGTGAGGGCATGAAGGTATTTTTATAGAAAAATCTTACTGAAAAGGGAAAGATGGACAAATAATAAAAAGCTTTCCAAAAAGGTGTATATGACAATTAATAATGATCAGGAGTAAATGCTATGCAATCCTAAATAGGCTAAATATATGCCAAAAATAAAAAACATTAATATTTCTTCTTTCTTTCTTTTGAAAAATGAAAATAAAATAACTTCCCCTCGCATTTCTTTCATTTCCCTAGCATTTTCTGGGATCCAAACAAACCCTATAAACAAAGAAAATTTTATTTAAAAAGGGAATCTCACAGTTTCCACATTCATGGTTAAGCAACAGACAATAATGTCGGCCTTTCTAGCAAATTTCAAAATATCAGCATGGCTTCCCTTTTCGTCTACCAGGTCACCATCAATGCAATTCCCTATGCGTACTGCTAAAAAATACTGTACATAAGAAGTCATAAAAGACCACCATGGGGTAACCTATACTCCTACGGTAACATAAAACAACCTAATGAAGTAATGAGATGTCTTACAACTTGTCCCATTAGAGTTATGTAAATGTGATGGCCAACTCCGTTTCGTAGCAAGTATTCTCACATCAAATGGTCTCAATCGTTTTGCCAATTCAATCCCAATATTGCCATATCCCATAATGAAGACCTATAATGAACACGTGGAGAATTATTAAGGTTTAGGATTCTGCCTTAAAAAGCTAGAATTTTTATATTAGTTTGTTTTTTTATATTTCATCAATGCAGATTATTTGCCAAGATTTGGGAAGGAAAAATTGAGAGAAAGGATCAATCAACATGTTCACTGTTAGGAGTCCAGAAAAATAAATAAAAAAGGTAGTAAACTTTGGAGAAATGAGCTCACCGTTTTGCCTAGGAGGGTCTCACCAATTGGTTCTCCAAGCCTTTCCTGCTCTATAGCAGTTTGCATTTCACGCTGCAACAGTAAAATGTTTCGAGGCAAGTTTATACAGAACATGCATGATGCATGTACATGAGTGGGGGCCAAGGTAGGCCCAAGCCCACCCCAAATTTGAAAAAAATGTTTAAATAGTACTTTAAAAATATTATTGTTAAGCTTTTTCAAAAAATAAACTTTGTACCGGCCCAACCCAATTTGGGTCAGTTTGGAAGGAAGGTTATGGAGAACTTAACTTATATTCTTCATAAATAGAATGTTTACTTTCTAAAAACAAATCAAGGGGTGATTAAAATGTAATATGATCAACTATGACGTTATTCCTTTCAACTTTTTTGCATATCAACATATAGACATAACCCTTCAAATTCCCTCATGAGCATGTCCTGAATGCACTTATGGATAACAAGCTCGAAAGAGCTTCTAATGGTCAAAAGCGATTTTATGAGTAAAACTGATATTTGGCTAAGTGGTTCTTTACAATAGAGCCTTTAAAACATAATGTTACATTTCCAAATTCCAATCAAAATCACTTCGTAACACTACTGTCCATACTGCTTTAAGTAGAACACGGTTTATCAAAAGAAAATCTTATTAAAATTGCTTTTCGCAAAAGTACATCCAGACAAGTCTGAAATGTCCCAAGTTTTTTTCCATGTATTCGCTTTAGATAAGAAAATTAGATACACCAACCTGTTTACGCAAAAGGCCCAATATCAAATATATGGCCATTTCAGCACATGAAGTTGCATTTCCAGTTAAACCCCCAGGGATTCTAGCAACTTTAATTCCATGGATTGAGGCAGCATTGATGTCAACACCTTTATCAATTGGAGACAGGTGGACCAATGTTCAATGACATTAACCACATAGTCTATGTTTGGAAAAACAGTCGGATAAACTAGTTGATAGCTAATATTTCAAATTGAACATCAATGGTAGCTAGTAGATAAGCTAGTACATGGTTGAACAAATTGGATTACAGTAACTTTACTAACTTAAAATTATTGGTTCTTAATACTGATAAGCTAGTTGATTAAATATAGGGTTTGGTAACTGACAAAATTAATAAGCAAGTTAATCCATTCTTGTCTGTGATCCTCAACTATTTGCTCCTTAGTTTGTGCAACATTTCTTACAAGAATGTCCCACAAGAATGAATCAGCAGTTCATATAGGTGAATAGGTGATCGCTAACAATTACCAATTAACTAATTAATATTTCAACAAGATAGTCCCACAACTATGAATCCATTCTTGTTTGTGATTACCAACTTTCATTTTTCTCACTTTTGGTGCACGAATTACGATTTCGTACTACTTAGGTTCTTTCTTGTCAATTGAATGGCGAAAGTAGATTTTTTTTAAAGTTTAACAAACATTAAGATTTTATTGATTACCAATATTTACATACACGTTCATCATCATCATCATCATCATCATCATCATCATCATCATCATCACCCCTTGCCGCAAAGGCTCCCACCTACGGGGGGGTAAGGGGGGTCGGATGTACGCAGTCACCCCTGTACTGTTACCGAATGACTCATAATGAAAAACGCGTCGAAAATTGCATAGACTGACTGTTACTTCATAACAAAGAAGCGCAGACAGTTTAGTGAGTCATTTTGCTTAATTTCATCATATTCCCAAGGCAAAAAATAGTGACTCTTTGGCTCCATTGAAAATGATGGAAAGATTTACATACACGTCTATTAACAAAAATAATGAGAACTAACCTTCCAGCCCAACTCCATACTGCATTATAAGTTTCATCCTCTTTGCTCTTGAGATGAGATCAGAATTTAGTTTCATGCTTTTTACAACACATATATCATAGTCTCCAATCACAGCAGGCACATTGTCAAGGGTAACATCATCAACCTATAAAGCAGTACAATTGTTGTCTAGGATGGTTAAATTTGTATAACATGCTAAAAATGTGATAGGAATCAGCCTAGTTAGTATTTTATTAAGGGGCAGAAGAAGAGAAATAAGGGGTCTAGGGGGTCAAATAGCTAATTAGTTGTTTGTTGGTCCCTGCGTGGACTGTTACTATAAATAGAAGGGGATGGTAGCTAAATAGGGGGGCGATCATTGAATTGGCATTTGGCTTGGAGAGTGGGCTTCTCGAACAGTCCCAGGGCTTGTATACGTACTCTTATTACTTCTCATTCAATAAACACACTTCCATCACTTCTCTGCATAATCTCTCTGGATCTATTATTGTTTTTGCTTGATTACTACCAGTGTTCTATCATTGGTATCAGAGAATTACGTTTCTGGTGATCGCAACGGTAATCAGAAAAGTGACGCAATCCAGGAAAAAAAAAATTGTTCGAAGCTGTGAATGGTTTGGACTAGAGCCAAAATGGAACAGCGGATTGAAGCGGTTGAACGCAGTCAGGTAGCGATGAAAGAAAGGTTGCTGCGATTGGAAGCTAAGATGGGAACGATGATGGAACGATTGACAGGGAGGATGAAAGCTATGAGCGAGCGAGGGAAATCGCGATCTCATCATCACCATCATTGGTGGTCGTCATCAACTTCTACCATGTTGTCGTTGCCAACTGCGGAGGTTTATTCGCAATCGCGAGAAACTCTTTCCCGTTCTAAGGCTTTGTCGCGAACAGTTTATCCTCAATCATCTCCATCGCAACTCTTTTTTCCCAGTTCATCCCTAAGTGCGACGCGACTGAGAGGAAAAGCTTCGCAGTCGCAGTCGCTAACGACTTCACCCAGTTCGCAATCGCGAACCTCATCTTCCACTTTGCAGTCGCGACCTCCTTCTCACAAGTCACAACCTTTTTCTACTTGTTCGCAGATGGCACCTCAAGCCGCTCATCACAGTTCACAGACTTCGTCCCTATCAGTGATGAGTTCACAAGTTTCTTCTCAATCGCTAGCAACTCCTTCCAGCCCTCGGGATGCGTCGCGAGAAGATACTGTCAGTTCGCAGGCTACATCAAATGAGCAGGTGTTTATTACTAAACATCATATCAGCCCAGGAAAGGAGATTGACGTGCATCTATCAATTTGTGCTTATGGCTTGGTACCGGAGAACAAATTTAATATTGGGTGTTTAATTGGATTGTATTCCAGAAGCAAGGCTACATATGACAGGAGATTAGAAACTTCTGATGTCCAAAGGTATGCTAGTGCCATAGACCAAAACTCAGAAGCAATTAAATTTTTGGTTGATATAGGTTATGAACCTGGATTGGGTGTTTTAATGGATATTGGGCTCAGTTATGCATCAAACCTGACTTTGGAGGGGCTGAATAAGATTGATAGTGATACTTATATGAAGTATATTCAAAATGGAATGGGGATTATACTTGCTGGGAATGACAAGAAATATGTTGGTTTGCTTCTACACCCATATTCATTTGGAAGCAGAGTCTTAATTGCGTATGAAATGGGAGTTGCTGTCAGTCATAGGTCAATGGGAGTAGTGTCAAGGGGAGTTGCAGTTTGTTCTAGTTTAGTACTCCCGGAAGAGCAGATTCAGGTTGAGGAGAATGTTGGTGTTCATAGCATGAACAAAAATTCTGCTAGGGGTGATGATGGATTTACTCAAAACAGTGCTTCTCAAGAGACTAAGAAGCTGTTCCGTTCACCTGATCTGAATGTTTCTGATCTGAATTTTTTAAGTTCTGATCTGATCTGATCTGAATTTTTCTGATCTGATCTGATCTGAATTTTTCTGATCTGATCTGATCTGAATCTTTCTGATCTGATCTGAATCTTTCTGATCTGATCTGAACGTTGCTGAACTGATCTGAATGTTGCTGATCTGATCTGATATGATCTGAATGTTTCTGATCTGATCTGAATGTTTCTGATCTGATCTGAATTCTTCTAATCTGAATCTTTCTGATCTGATTTGAATATTTCTATAATTGTAATTGTAATTATAATTATAATTATTAGATTTATAATTGTAATTAAAAATATAACTTAAATAAAATTACAATTATAATCATAATTATAAAAAAATAATAATTAAAATGAAATTTAAAATTATAATAATTATACCAATTACACTAATTATAAATACAGATACAATTATAAATGTAATTATATTTTTAATTATGATTAATTTTATAATTATTTTTTTTGTAATTATAATTATAATATTTATCTCTATAATCATAATTATATGTATAATTACTAATTTAAATATATAATTACTCCGAAGTAATAATAATTACAAAAATAACAACAAGAACAACAATCATATTAATAATAATGATGATTATAATTATAATTACATTGTAAATCATAATTATAATTATAATTATATTATATTATATTATATTATATTATATTATATTATATTATATTATATTATATTATATTATATTATATTATATTATATTATATTATATTATATTATATTATATTATATTATATTATATTATATTATATTATATTATATTATATTATATTATATTATATTATATTATATTATATTATATTATATTATATTATATTATATTATATTATATTATATTATATTATATTATATTATATTATATTATATTATATTATATTATATTATATTATATTATATTATATTATATTATATTATATTATATTATATTATATTATATTATATTATATTATATTATATTATATTATATTATATTATATTATATTATATTATATTATATTATATTATATTATATTATATTATATTATATTATATTATATTATATTATATTATATTATATTATGATAATATAATAATAATTTTATATTATCAAAATTATTATTATATTATTATTAATAATATTATTATATTAATATATTAATATTATTAACAATAACTATAATATAATAATCATAATTAATATAATAATAAAAGTGATAAATCATGTTTGAATTTTTTGATCTGATCTGATCTGAATGTTTCTGATCTGATCTGAATGTTTCTGATCTGGTCTGATCTGGTCTGAATCTTTCTGATCTGATCTGAATGTTGCTGATCTGATCTGAATCTTTCTGATCTGATCTGAATGTTTCTGATCTGATCTGATCTGATCTGAATCTTTCTGATCTGATCTGATCTGAATAAAATAAGATTAAGTAATAAGTAATAAGATTAAGACGAACGGAACAGCTTCTAAAGCAACTACACCATTCATAAAGCTTCTATTCGTTGAGCGTATCCTTCCTATTGATGCGGTGAATAAAGCAGGAGTTATTTCATATTTTGTATATCTCCTTGAAAGGAGTGAATTACCCCAATGGCAAACTAAAGTTGCTCGGGCACCGGTATATGTTACACCTGGGACAACCGGATATACAAGGCTGGTCATTGAACAGGGGATTGACCCTAATTTCAGACAGCCTCTTAATTCATCCAATGATGACGTTGGTGAGCAGACTGTCTGGGCTTTAGGCAATGTTGTTAGTGATGCTCCAACATATAGAGACCTTGTTCTTGGTCAGGCTGCACTTTTACAATTGCTAGATCAGCTCAATGAGCAAGTGGTTGGCATAAAGGAAACTGATGGGATTTTATACTTTAATGGCACTTCTGATTGCTCCTGGGAGTCTCACCTTTATTGTTCGAAACTGATCCATGAGTTGAACAGTACTCCAGAAATACTATTAAGATTGACACAGGGGAGAGGAAAACACGTGGTTGTGCTTGATCATCAGATGCATAGACCTGTTGACATTTTTAAATTGTGGAGTTCACCTCCCATAATCTCAGTTTTTGCCTTGCCTGATGGAAGTTTCAGCATGCATTTGCTTGAGCAACCAACCCCAATGAGTATTCCAGGACTCAAAATGTTCCAACTGGAAACGCCAGAGATGCAGATGCTGGGAGAAGTCTTGTGCACGTGGAGTGGGCCTAGTGGCAGTGTACTGAGTTCTGTCTTACCTTCCTCGGTTGCTGATGTGAAGACTGAGACTTACAGTCCCGAAGCTGACTTTGTATCCTCAATAGGAGATTCTGTAAGAGATCTGACATCAGGCAGTGAGGGAGATAACAACCTTGGCCAAAAGGATCACTATCTTGACGAAGAGTTTGACTGGATACCAAAACAAAGAAGACTATTCGAGCTGAAGTACTGGGAAGGCAGAGGAGCAAGGATAAAGCACACTGGCATGGCTGTTTCTCACTCAGTTACTCCCCACCTTGAGGGCAAGGTGGTTGTTTAGGGGGGGAGTATTGATAAGAATCAGCCTAGTTAGTATTTTATTAAGGGGCAGAAGAAGAGAAATAAGGGGTCTAGGGGGTCAAATAGCTAATTAGTTGTTTGTTGGTCCCTGCGTGGACTGTTACTATAAATAGAAGGGGATGGTAGCTAAATAGGGGGGCGATCATTGAATTGGCATTTGGCTTGGAGAGTGGGCTTCTCGAACAGTCCCAGGGCTTGTATACGTACTCTTATTACTTCTCATTCAATAAACACACTTCCATCACTTCTCTGCATAATCTCTCTGGATCTATTATTGTTTTTGCTTGATTACTACCAGTGTTCTATCATTGGTATCAGAGAATTACGTTTCTGGTGATCGCAACGGTAATCAGAAAAGTGACGCAATCCAGGAAAAAAAAAATTGTTCGAAGCTGTGAATGGTTTGGACTAGAGCCAAAATGGAACAGCGGATTGAAGCGGTTGAACGCAGTCAGGTAGCGATGAAAGAAAGGTTGCTGCGATTGGAAGCTAAGATGGGAACGATGATGGAACGATTGACAGGGAGGATGAAAGCTATGAGCGAGCGAGGGAAATCGCGATCTCATCATCACCATCATTGGTGGTCGTCATCAACTTCTACCATGTTGTCGTTGCCAACTGCGGAGGTTTATTCGCAATCGCGAGAAACTCTTTCCCATTCTAAGGCTTTGTCGCGAACAGTTTATCCTCAATCATCTCCATCGCAACTCTTTTTTCCCAGTTCATCCCTAAGTGCGACGCGACTGAGAGGAAAAGCTTCGCAGTCGCAGTCGCTAACGACTTCACCCAGTTCGCAATCGCGAACCTCATCTTCCACTTTGCAGTCGCGACCTCCTTCTCACAAGTCACAACCTTTTTCTACTTGTTCGCAGATGGCACCTCAAGCCGCTCATCACAGTTCACAGACTTCGTCCCTATCAGTGATGAGTTCACAAGTTTCTTCTCAATCGCTAGCAACTCCTTCCAGCCCTCGGGATGCGTCGCGAGAAGATACTGTCAGTTCGCAGGCTACATCAAATGAGCAGGTGTTTATTACTAAACATCATATCAGCCCAGGAAAGGAGATTGACGTGCATCTATCAATTTGTGCTTATGGCTTGGTACCGGAGAACAAATTTAATATTGGGTGTTTAATTGGATTGTATTCCAGAAGCAAGGCTACATATGACAGGAGATTAGAAACTTCTGATGTCCAAAGGTATGCTAGTGCCATAGACCAAAACTCAGAAGCAATTAAATTTTTGGTTGATATAGGTTATGAACCTGGATTGGGTGTTTTAATGGATATTGGGCTCAGTTATGCATCAAACCTGACTTTGGAGGGGCTGAATAAGATTGATAGTGATACTTATATGAAGTATATTCAAAATGGAATGGGGATTATACTTGCTGGGAATGACAAGAAATATGTTGGTTTGCTTCTACACCCATATTCATTTGGAAGCAGAGTCTTAATTGCGTATGAAATGGGAGTTGCTGTCAGTCATAGGTCAATGGGAGTAGTGTCAAGGGGAGTTACAGTTTGTTCTAGTTCAGTACTCCCGGAAGAGCAGATTCAGGTTGAGGAGAATGTTGGTGTTCATAGCATGAACAAAAATTCTGCTAGGGGTGATGATGGATTTACTCAAAACAGTGCTTCTCAAGAGACTAAAGCAACTACACCATTCATAAAGCTTCTATTCGTTGAGCGTATCCTTCCTATTGATGCGGTGAATAAAGCAGGAGTTATTTCATATTTTGTATATCTCCTTGAAAGGAGTGAATTACCCCAATGGCAAACTAAAGTTGCTCGGGCACCGGTATATGTTACACCTGGGACAACCGGATATACAAGGCTGGTCATTGAACAGGGGATTGACCCTAATTTCAGACAGCCTCTTAATTCATCCAATGATGACGTTGGTGAGCAGACTGTCTGGGCTTTAGGCAATGTTGTTAGTGATGCTCCAACATATAGAGACCTTGTTCTTGGTCAGGCTGCACTTTTACAATTGCTAGATCAGCTCAATGAGCAAGTGGTTGGCATAAAGGAAACTGATGGGATTTTATACTTTAATGGCACTTCTGATTGCTCCTGGGAGTCTCACCTTTATTGTTCGAAACTGATCCATGAGTTGAACAGTACTCCAGAAATACTATTAAGATTGACACAGGGGAGAGGAAAACACGTGGTTGTGCTTGATCATCAGATGCATAGACCTGTTGACATTTTTAAATTGTGGAGTTCACCTCCCATAATCTCAGTTTTCGCCTTGCCTGATGGAAGTTTCAGCATGCATTTGCTTGAGCAACCAACCCCAATGAGTATTCCAGGACTCAAAATGTTCCAACTGGAAACGCCAGAGATGCAGATGCTGGGAGAAGTCTTGTGCACGTGGAGTGGGCCTAGTGGCAGTGTACTGAGTTCTGTCTTACCTTCCTCGGTTGCTGATGTGAAGACTGAGACTTACAGTCCCGAAGCTGACTTTGTATCCTCAATAGGAGATTCTGTAAGAGATCTGACATCAGGCAGTGAGGGAGATAACAACCTTGGCCAAAAGGATCACTATCTTGACGAAGAGTTTGACTGGATACCAAAACAAAGAAGACTATTCGAGCTGAAGTACTGGGAAGGCAGAGGAGCAAGGATAAAGCACACTGGCATGGCTGTTTCTCACTCAGTTACTCCCCACCTTGAGGGCAAGGTGGTTGTTTAGGGGGGGAGTATTGATAGGAATCAGCCTAGTTAGTATTTTATTAAGGGGCAGAAGAAGAGAAATAAGGGGTCTAGGGGGTCAAGTAGCTAATTAGTTGTTTGTTGGTCCCTGCGTGGACTGTTACTATAAATAGAAGGGGATGGTAGCTAAATAGGGGGGCGATCATTGAATTGGCATTTGGCTTGGAGAGTGGGCTTCTCGAACAGTCCCAGGGCTTGTATACGTACTCTTATTACTTCTCATTCAATAAACACACTTCCATCACTTCTCTGCATAATCTCTCTGGATCTATTATTGTTTTTGCTTGATTACTACCAGTGTTCTATCAAAATGAATGCAATAATTTGAAACTATTATAGAATAAAAACCTATAACTTGATGCTACCATCGTCCAACTTAGTAGGCCACATTGCACTTTCCGAAATTTGACCAATAACTAATTTTTATGCAGAATGTGAATGATAATGAGAAAGTAATATATAAAATGTTCTTCCGTTAAAAATTTAGTCAAAGTTCAACACCGTTGACCATAAAAGTCAAACCTGGCCTAAGAAAGTGGGATGGATGGAGTGTGAAAATCAATTTTAGCAGTTACTTTTAATAAACTTTTTACCCAACAGGCAATTTCATCATATTGTAGTATGATTAGACAAAAAAGAAAGTCTCTTTAAGAAAATACATCTAGATTGAACAAAAAAAAGTGGAAGCCCTCTTTCATATATTTGGAGTTCACTCAAAATCAAGTTTCATCCATGACCAGAATGATCCTTAACATAAAAGGTAGATATTTGATAAAAATCCTCATCATAAACGTGCAACTTGTAAGTGTCCATTTCATGTGATCGTTAGAGTCTGCTTGGAATTCGGAAAATGCTACTGAAAGAAAAACAACAAGAAGGAAAATAGAGGGAAATGGGAAGGAAAAGAAAAGTAGGGACAACTAAAACAGGTTGGGATTAAATCTCAACTTTAGGTATTAATTCGAACTCAATTTATTATATACTTATAATATATAAAGACTGAAATCTAAGTATATGTAAAATCTTAAAATTAAATTCTTCTAATTTTTAAGATAAACTTTAACATTACAAACCATGTTCCTTTGCCTTATTTTTTCCTTTCCTGCCGCTTTCCAGTTCCAAACATAGTCTTATTGTACAATACTCACATATGCAAATTCAACCAATGAGTATTTCCAAATAACAAATAAACGGAGGGAAAAAATTGGCACCTTTATAAATGGATAACCTTTCACATATTCTCTTGTATAATTGTGAGATGCGGGAAAATGGGGCCCGCAAAAAAGAACACGAGTAGTGCGACTACTGGCAAGGTCACCCATTGCTCGAACCTTACCAAAATTGCATCCACCTACAAAAATCTAGCTTGTGTTAGACTGTTAAAAGTTTAGATTAGATATATTCACAAAATGAACATGTACAAGGTATTAATTAAAGTATGGAATGATCCTTTTGGGTCCATAGAAACTTGGTTAGCTCTTCCTATAATATCCTCGAACAAATTGTTAGAAAAAGATTAAGTCGTCATCATCATTACCCCAGTGCCGCAAAGGCTCCCACCTACGACGAAGTAGGGGGGTCGGATGTATGTACTCTTACCCCTGTACTAAAGAGAGACTATTTACGGATGACCCATACTGAAAATCGATTCGAAAATTGCATGGACTGATTGCTGCTTGACAACAAAGAAGCGCAGCCAGCTTAGTGAGCCTTTTGCTTTACTCCATCATATTCCCAAGTCAAACAATAGTGAGTCTTTGACTCCATTGCAAATGATGGAAATAGAAAGAAGATTAAGTAAGCGCATAAAAAAACTAGCTGAATTAATTGGTTTTTTTAAGGAGTTTAACCAATTTTTCTCAGTTTTCCATCATTTGCAATGGAGCCACACATTCATTATTTTTTGGCTTGAGAATATGATGGAATAAAGCAATATTTAACAATTGTTAAAAAATCATATTCTGAAAATTTATAATGAGAGGAATTTAACAATATTTTTCAAAAATTTAAATTTTTTATAAATTAATAAATAAAATACAGTTACAGTAGAGCACGAGAATGGTATACAATTCAACATCTTGTATTTACATAAGAACTCTATTTCAACACCAAGCACAAAAAAAATTCAGGAGTCAGCTGTCTGTCCGACCCCCTTAGCTCCTCCCTAGCATGAACAATCAAATGCCAGAAATGAAAGAAAAAAGAAAAAAAAAAACAGGGCGAATGAAAATGTGCGGGGGCACCTGATGAGAAGGAGGTGATGATTACAGTGAATGGTCTCTTCAATACCGACCAACCCACCCCCTGCAGATTTCTAACTGAAGAATGATATCGGTTCTGTGGAGACGATTTTGCGATTATATTAATAGAGTTCTGCTGGACATTGGGAGGAAGAAACCAGATCCAAAACGCCTGTGCTGGTCTAGAGGTGGGCAAAAATACCGAAAATTCGGTATACCTGAAACGAGCCTGCTCCGCGCGGCACCAGTATTACTGGGCGCACCTCCTTAGCATCAATCCCATATTCACGCTACTACAAAGGTGCTTGGCGCATCACCTACTTTTCCATTACCATCACAGACGGAGTAAGACATTACAAGCATCTCCCTTGTATAGAGTTTTTTTAAATGACCCTTGTATTGATTTTTTAATAAGTCCTCCTTTTATTGCTTCTTTAAAATAAAAAAAGATTATAATATTTCCTAAAATTCTTTTCAAAAAAAAAAAACTCCGTATTTCCTAAAATTTTGTGTAACATTGTTTCTAAAAAAAGTAACGTCTTTGAAATATACTCAAATTTATAATCAGGATTACACCTTTTACCCACCATCAAATAACTACTACTCTTATAATTTTTTTACAATCTTTTTATACAATGGAGGATGAATTTGAAAATTACCTAAAAAATGGTACTCTTGATTTGCAGACTTCTGAAGCATTCATCTATCCTACTATATGTATCTCAGTTCTTCTTTTTGATGTGTTTAATTATGTTTGTCATATACAATATTCGATAATATTTTGATGGTCACATAAATATATTTTCATTCATCTTTGTATTTTCAAGGATGTTTTTAGGGTTTTTGTCCTCAATATTACTAATGTAAAGCCAATTACAAAAAATGTGACCACTTTTTAAAAAAGACAAAAATGTGACCAACAAGGTCATATACTTGGAAAACATAGTGTCACTATAGAATTTTTATGTCACTTGCAAAGTTTTATGTAGGGGTGGGTCCGAAAAACCGAAAACCGAATCAAATTAAATCGAATCGCAACCAAATAAAATCGAACCGCTAAGAAACCGAAACCGAATGTAAAAACCCGAACCGAACCGAAGTTGTTTGGTTCGGTTTTGGTTTTTACCCTTCAAAACCGAACCGAACCGAACAAACTGAACTATTTAAAATATGAAATTTATAATTTAATTGTTAAGGATTAATTCTAATTAATCTTAATATCATCATTAGTCTTTGGTTTTCTTGTGTTAGAAAAATAATGTTTATGTTATGTTTAATTTAATTTAGTTTATAAATTCATTTACACATTCATTGCCTGTAATAATGTAGCTATATTGAATGATAATAATACTCCCTCCGTCCCAAATTGTTTTGCAAAGTCAATATTTTTTGGTCAACCAATAATAAAAGTCAAACCTTCTTATTGATAATGAATTCAATTTTTAATAATTAAAATTTACATATTCATAAACTACATTAAAATCTCTTCAAAGTTGTAAACTCCAAAATGAAATATAATTAAAAATTGACACTCTAATTAAGCGAACAAAATGAATCTGTTTGACCAAGAAAAGTCAAAATTGCAACTCAATTTGGAACGGAGGTAGTATGTGTTTACTAGTTATTAGTAGTAATTAATTTTTTTAGATAACTTAAAGATTTTATATTGATAAAACAATAAATATTCATCTCAACTATATCACATAGAAGTATAGAATGTATATATTCATGAACTTTTTTCAAACTACTCACAAACAAATTAAATCTATATTATATACAGTTTTATCTATCTCGCATACTCATATAATTCAAGACATATTTATCTCTTCTCATTTTTATTTTATTTGTCGTTGTATTGTGCTTGCATTCTTTATGTAATATGTTTGATCCCTCTAAGTATTATATCAACTTTGAATCAAGTGATAATTTTTTGGTAAAAAACCGAAAAAAACCGAAACCGAACCGAAACAAACCAAACCAATCAAACCGTGGTTCCAAGTTTTGGAGTGTAAAACTGAACCGAAACCGAACTGAACTTTTTATTTTGATTCTATATTTGGTTTTAGGTCAAAACTGAACCGCAAGAACCGAACTCACCCCTAGTTTTATGTCACTTTCATTTGTCACTTTAAAATTTTACGTCACTTTCATATGTCATTTTTTAAGTGTTTTTTTTATGTCACTATCAGATTTCGCATCACTTTAGGGTGTCACTGTAGCCGTGAAACGTGTCACTATGTCGACAGAAAATTTTCCGGTGCCCTTTTTCGGCATCCCCGTGACCCAGTCAGAGAAACCCCGACCACCACCAGTCACCACAGCCATCCACCAGCCCAACCCCTACCCTCCCCCAGCCCCAAAACCCCCTCCCAAATCCCAGCCCCCTCTCCAGCGGTGTAGTTTCCGGCAGCCATCATCCTGGCGGTGACTGCTACAACGCCAATGTCCCTGTCCCTTCCCTTCCCCAAATCCCACCCACTACCCCATGATAAACCCTAGCCATCGCAAACCACGACGCCGTCACAACTCCGACCACCATACCAGCCCCCCCCCCCACCTTCCCGACCGCCGCCATAACTTGATTGCTACCACCACCGTAACCCCAGGACGTCGTCTTCCCTGATGCCGCCCATCCATTCTCTTCTTCACCCCTGAGATCCGAGAGGTGGCCATCTGGCCTTCATCTCTAGATTTGGATCTAGATCGAGTTTTAGGGCTTCGGTGCAGCGTTGATTATCGAAGAAAAGAGAAGAAGAAGAAGAATGCGACGGAGGCGTGTAGGGTAGCGGCGCGACGACGACAGCCTTGGTTGCACCGGCGACGATGCAAGGAACAGCCATGGTGCAGGGTAGTGAGGCGGTGTGATGACCGATTGAGGAGACGGTGGCCGACTGCGGAGGCGGTGCGATGGCCGGATGCGGAGGCGTTGGCCGATTCCGGCAATCTGCGGTGTGAAGTCTCCAAATCGATGCCTACGATGCGTGCCGTAGTCTGGGGTGCGAAGAAGAAGTTCCAGATGGGAATATGACAGACCAGGCTATTAGGTGGTTTATTTGGATTCACTTTTTGGTCCAAGAGAAAAATGAGCATATTTTTGTCTTGTCAAAGTCCATAAGTGATGCTTTTGCCATTCTTTCATGTTTTTAATTGAGATGTCTTCTATTCCGGATCAGACCAAATTTATCTTCATTTATAATTCTATATTGAATTATATATTTGAATATGCAACATTTTTAATTCTAGTAAACTAATTATCTTCATTTTTTATTTTGTTGACTAATTTCAATGGCTGAGGGCCCCGCCTTTTAAAATCCATCGACACAATGCTGATTCCGCATTACAGCCATATACTCCATATGTTACAGGGAAAATGGAAACTAATAATCCAACCTTTTTAGCAGTCTTCTTACAATAGTTCCACATTTTCATTATTCAAGAATAATCCAACCTTTGCACCTCATCTTCATTCGGTAGTCCCTGACCGGTTAATGACCTGCTATTTCAAGTTATTTTATTATCTTTGCAAAATATTATCGTTGTGAAAGGTGAGATATATGGTATAATGGTTTGGAAAGATAAGAAAATAACCTGGAATAGCAGGTCATCAATCGGTCAGGGACCAGTGAATGAAGATGAGGTGCAAAGGTTGGATTATTCATGGATAACGAAGAGGTGGGACTATTGTAAGAAGACCGCTAAAAGGTTGGATTATTAGTTTCCATTTCCCCTATGTTACATGACTAGATTTATCATGTGGGTGATATTTAGGATGTTTATAATTGAACTGATTTTGATCCAGATAAATTTAAACAAATCAGATCAGATTAGATTAGACTAGTAGTAAATGCACATTTATCAACCGTTCACGAGGCTTGACCAATTTTTTTTAAATGTTTACATATATAATATTGGTGTCATATGAAGGATCTTAAAAATTATTTAATTTGATATAACTTTTATAAAAATTGGAAAAAATGAAAAGTTATAACATGATATAAAAAAAAGAGTTATTTGCCACATGGCAACATGTTATTGGGTGAAGAGTAGATGTAAAATTGAAATGGGGCAAACCATGTGATCCTACGAACACTAAACAACATATTTAATTAATTTTAATTTAATACGGAGTAATTGAAAAGGTCAAAACAATGGAAAAGGCAAAGAGTAATGCAAAATAACGAGAGTTTTTTCTATTTTTCCAGAATAACGTAATTCAAAAAAAATATATGCCATATGAAAGATTATAAAAAATTATTTAAAAAAGAATATTTTTTCTAAAGTTTATAGATACAATATATGTGTCATATGAAAGATCATAAAAATTATTTAAATCAATATATTTTTCCCAAAATTGGGGAATAAATGAAAATAGTACATAGTATAACGACGCCGGTTGGTAACACTATTTTTCGGCTTATCAGTCAACTTTTTCACCAAACACGTAACTTTTGTTTTCGAGCGCTGAATTGTGTAACAATAAGAAAAAATAAGGTTGAAGTTACTTTTCTGGTTGTATTTAGGGCTGAGCACAACCCGATCCGACCCGAAAAACCCGATATTTTTTCGGATATTATCCAAACCGAAGTGGATATCCGACCCGGAAAACCCGAAACCGAAAATCCTGATTAGTATTGGGCCTAGACCGGGTGGCGGGTAGGGTTTGTGAAATCCCAACCCGACCCGCCCGAATATCCGAAATATAGGTTAGTGTGTACTTTGAATATTTAAATTAATACTTGTGTTCAATTATTTGTGTAATTATTTGTGCAATTTGTATTAAATTATTTGTGTAAATTGAATGTGTTATGTGTAGTGCACTAATGTGTACAATATTTGTCAAAGTGGCATTCCAACACTTTAATTATCCAATTATAATCTGTTTTAATATAACCGAAATATCCGAAATATATTAAATTATTTAGTGTGTACTTTGAATATGTTAAATTAATACTTGTGTTCAATTATTTAAGTAATTATTTGTGCAATTTTTGTGAAATTATTTGTGTAATTTGGAAGTTTAGTGCACTAGTGTGTACAATTTTTGTCAAAGTGGCATTTAAACACTTTAATTATCCAATTATAATTTTTTTTAAATATAACCGAAATATCCGAAACCCGACCTAATATCTGATAATATCCGACTTAAAAATCCGAAATACCCGATTTGAAATATCAAAGGGTCGGGCCTAGTATTAAATGGTCTCACCGGCTTCTTGGCTAGTATTTTGACTCGTCTGTGGCTGCTCTCGTAGAAACTTTCTACAATCTCTTTTTCTATGCCCATAATTACCACAATAGTTGCAATATCCTTCAAACCAAGTATTGTTTTCACAGGAGATACCTCGTTCTTGTGATCGGCCGCGAACTTGAGAATTTCCTCTGTTTTGACCTTGGCCTCTACCTCGACCTCGACTTCTTCCTCTATTTCTGCCCCCCCTCGTCTGCTAGTTTCTGACACGAAGGCATATGATTGTTCAGTCCCGACTTCTTTTCTTCGGGCTTCTTCGTTCACAAGGGCATCTGTGACCATCTGCATAGTCACTTTGCCATTGGGAGCAGAATTGCTGAGAGTGACAACAAGAGTCTCCCAGCTGTCAGGTAGAGAGCTCAAGAGTAGTATCGCCTGCTCTTCATCTTTGAGAATCCATCCTGTGGTGCTCAACTGATTCACAAGATCCTGGAATTGACTGGTGTGTTCTGACACCAAAATACCTCCTCGTAATTTGTGGTTTACTAATCGCCTCATTAGTAAAGTCTTATTTCGTGCGGTTTTCGCTTGATACATGCTACCAAGCTTCTCCCATAGTGTGTAAGCACTTTGTTCTTGCGCAACATGGTGGAACACAATATGATCGATCCACTGTCGAATTTGTGCGACAGTTTTTCGATTCATTTTTGTCCATTCTTCATCCGTCTTTTTATCCGGTTTCACGCCATTATTATCGAGAGGATCGGCTAAATCCCTCAAATTTAGCAAATCCTCCATCCGAGGCTTCCACATATTGTAATTTGTGGAAGTGAGCGCAATCATGGTGTCCGATGATGATTTATCCATAATAAAACGCTCAAAATATCTCGTACCATATTTTCGGAGCCGAATTTGGACAAACGGAGCTCACCGTTGGATCCGGAATGGCCGAAAATGGTAGGAACCGGTCTGACCTCGTCCAAAACCGGTCTGGAAATGGGTGAACCGGCCTCCACAAGTACGAACCGGTTCGGTCCGGTTCAGGCAGCAGCCCAGTGAGCAGACCAGCAGGCGGATGACGTGGCAACAGCTGGCTCTGCGCTGGCGCTGACGCGGCGCTGACGTGGCACCCAGAGGATGGCTTACACGGATGACGTGGCGGCTGACATGGCACTTACGTGGACTGACGTGGCGCTAACGCGGCGCTTACGTGGCGGCTGACGTGGCTCTTCTTCTTCCTCTGGACTGCGTGATGATGCAATGATGACGCATGCAGTTTTCTCGCGCGTTTGGGCGGCGCGTACGGCTTCTTCCGGTGGCCAAAAAATTCCCCCAAAATACCAGATTTCTCGTCTCGACGAGACGAATCTAACGGTATGATCAGATCGTGATTCCGAGCAACTTGAAAAATCATGATTTTCTAACCTGTAGAAATTTATTTGAAAATGAGAAAACAGTGTATGAAAACTCAACCTCGCTTTGATACCACTTGTTGGGATTGGAAAATTCTTCTATTCAATATCAAGAACAGAATTACAATAGGAGGAGCAAACTCTCACACTCAACTATTACAAAAAACCAATTCTCACCAATACACTTCTACTCTAAGTGTATTTTCACTCTTCACACACTTTTCTCACTTTCTAAACTGATACAATGAACAACAATACACTCTCTATTTATAGGTGTATATGGGAGACATGAGGAAGTTGCATCCAAGCTTCCATTCTCATTGCTAGGGAGTTTCCTAGCTATCTCCAAGAAATCTTCTCCATGTTCATGTGTTTGATACCTCCTTCCTAGAAGGTGTTATATGTCTCTTGGCAACTTTCAAGAAAGAAGGTGGAAGAATCCTACAAGAAGGGGGTAATTTTTTTGGGTTTAAGCAGGGTGTACAATAGTGTGTACACATGTGTGTACAAAGAGCAATTTTGATTTATTTAAGAATGGAGTATTGCATACTCCGTATTTACCATTACTCGGGATTGCTGCACCAGTGAGACTAGAAAGGAAAGGTCCAGAATTGCAGTCTTAAAAACAACCCGCTTCCCTAAAACAGAAAGGAAATGACCAGAGTTGCACATGTTATACTCCGTACTAATATAGGAGTCGTTCTCGTTATTGTGCAAATAGATACCAGTCCCACCTACTCGTATATACGAAGTATGAAGAACTTGAGGAGTAGTTCTTCCAATACGAAAACAGAGTCACAAAGGCTGGAAATATTAATGTCTAGCTTCAGCCCAGAAAGATATGATGAAGTGCAAAATAGCAGTTCAGGTTCAATTCCACTGCCTCCAGCATATCCATTTTCTTCAGCCACCGCCAGGAAATTGAGAAACTGAAGATTCAGCATTTTCCCTCAAGGCAGCGAAACAAATGTTTCAGGTGAATGTTCTTTTTTGAATTTTGTTTTAGATACGCCCTTAATCACGGGTTTAGCATTTTGTTTTGAGAACACGGGTTTAAGGGCTTTTAGCATCTTAAAATTTTATAAATATCTAAATTAAAAATTATTAATCCATTTACCAAATCTAAATAATCTAATACAGTAATACTTCTATACTACGTATGTAATACAGTAATATGTGCACTGCCTTGTTTTGCTTCTTCTGTGAATCGTCGTTTTTGTTGTTCTCTAGCTTCGTCGACCGCCCTATATATTTCAGATCTGGTGGGTTTTTGGGTTGGTGGTACTCGGTCGAGTCGCAAAGGGGCGGACTGGTGCGAGGCAGGGCGGCGCTGATCGCTTGGGCTGCTGCAAGTTGCAGAGGGCTGGGCGGCGCTGGGGTCGGGTGGTGGTGGCGTCTGGGCGGTTAAGGTGGTGGTGGGGCAGGTAGGTTGGGGGTGGGGATGGGACTAGGAAGCTGTGGGAGGACTGGGAAAGCAGGGGAAAGGGACCGGAGATGAGGTGGTGGTTGTCACAGCTCTGGGTTGAGCTGGGGCTGCGGCTGAATCGGGTCGTGGCTGGTGGGGGGCTGGGGGACTAGACTGTGGTCATTGGCGCGGCCGGCGGCGGTGTCACTGTGGCGGTTTCACTAAGGCGTGTCAATGTGGCTGATGGTGACAATATTACGAGCTATGTTTAAAAACCCGGACCGGAAAGTGACCCGGTCACATGACTGGGTCACTTATAAAATTGTATTGTAAGTTTGTAATTAGGAAGAAAAATACAATAGAAATTACTTCAAATAGGACTAAAACTATGGCAAAAACTCAAAATAGGACTTGCTATGTTTTTTATTCCAAAATAGGACCATAGTGGTCCTATTGGAAACATACTCATTTCTTCCTTCCATTCTTACCCCTCCTTTAAATATTAGTAAAAGATAGTTAAAAGTCATAATTAGATGTTTAATTCATAATAAATTTGAAAAAAATTCAATAATTCGTAGAAAAATAATAAAAAAATTAATAAAATTTTTATAAATAAAAAATAAGAAAAAAAATATTTTTTTAATTTTTTTATTTTTTTTGAAAATTAATAAAAAATAGTAAAACTCCATTAAAAAAATTAAAAAAAATATGGATACCTTTCCCACCGCCTGTACTACCTCCCTGAACCACCACCTCCGATCGGTGTAAAAAATGCCACTTTTTTTTTTAAATTCCACAAAAATGGCATATTTCTCTATGAGAATGCCAACATTTTCATTCTGCCAACTTGAATCCTTTTGACTTTTGCCAAAAATATGGCATTCATAATTTTTTTGGCAGTTTTTTTACCCCGGTGACAGGAGGCGGTGGTACCGCCTCCCTGCACCACCACCTCCGACCGTTAAAAAAATGTCATATTTCCTACAAATTTCCATTTTTTCGGAAAATGCCAAAAATATGGCATATTTCTCCTTGAGAATGCCAACATTTTTTTTCTTCCATCTTAAATCATTCTGCATTGTGCCAAAAATATGGAATTCATAATATGAGAAATCTGGTTCCTCCAGCATCCATCTCGAGAGAATTCCCCAAATAGGAGTAAAAGATAGGCAAAATGCAAAAATAGGAGTACCATGTTTTGAATAGGAGTAACTTTAGTGTTTAGACAAGTATATCCCTACCCAAGTCCCAACAACTTTCATTAATAATTAAAACATAATAGGAATAACATTAATTTATAATAAAATTGTAAAAAAAATGAAAAAACACAAAAATATATCAAATAAAACATACTTCGTATTAAATAAAAATAATAAAAATAAAAATTATTAAAATATTAAAAATATTAAAAATATTAAATAAAAAACTAAAAAATTAAAAAAAAAACTATAAAAAAATATGTAGGCGTCTACCGCTGCCTCGACAACCTCCCAGCACCACCATCTCTGACCACCAAAAAAAAATGCCAACATTTTTCCGAAATGCCATCATGATGGTAGATTTTGAGAAAATTTGGCATTTTCAAAGAGCAAAACTGCCATCTTTATGACATTTTCAAAGAAAAATGGAAGTTTTAACATAAGATGACATTTTTTCCGCCGATCGGATGTGATATTGCTGGGTGATGGCCGAGGTTGCGGCAAAGGCTTGCATATTTTTTTTATATTTTTAGTGTGATTTATCTATTTTTTATTTATTTTCAAAATTTTTTATTTTTTTAAAAAAATATTTTATTTAATTTTTATTATTTCAATATATATTTTCAAATATTTTAGATTTTTTTTTTTAAATTTTATTAGGATCAAATAAGTCATATTTTAGAATTAACTAAGTTAGGGTATTAAGGGTACAAAATTAATGTTTACTCCTATTGAAGGAAGTTTTAAGTTTCACTCATATTTGTGCAATTATGTTTATGTTTACTCCTATATTGGGCAATTTCTCTTCTCATGCAAGCATGAGACCACATTCCACAGCGGCACAGCAAGGACGCAGACACGCAGGGCGCTAATCGGCAGTGAACCCATCAGTTCCTTACTTCTATTTCCTTCATCCAGGTTTCTACCTTTACCCTTCGTTTCTGTAATTCCAATTCCATTTTAGTCTTTTAGGCTTTGGTATGAATGAATTAATGAATGATTCAACAACTATTTCAAATTCCATCATTCCAATTTTATGAAAGTAGATTGAGTTAATACTTAATACCCATTTGGTTTGGTTCTTTAACTATAAAGTATTTCTCAATTTTTTGTAGATCCAAATACCCATTTAATTTAGTCCTGAAATTATACTACCTCCGTAACTTAAAAATCTTCTCATTTCAAAAGTAGGTAGATTAAGAATAGTGAAAGATGATATGAATTATTGAGGGTATGATGGGAAGATAGTGGAATAATCTGATGGAATGTAGGATAAGAGCCCGTTTGGAGACCCCTTTTTTCAGCTTATCAGGCTTATCGGCCAGCTTTTTCACCAAACACGTAATTTTTACTTTCGCGTGCTGAATTGTGTACAACAAACAACAACAACCAAGCCTTAGTCCCAAATGATATTGAGGTCGGCTAACATGAATCGATATATGATATCACATTATCACCAAAAGGAAAAGAAAGAAACTAAAGATAAAAAAGATAAGCTATTATAAAAAAAAAAAAATAATATAAAAGAGATGAATATACATATAAAAGATCAAATAAAAAGGATAAGGTAATATTTATATATAAGGATAAAGATATAAAAGAAAAGGAAAAAAAAAGAAGAAGAAGAAAAAAAAGATGATACAAGATCACTCCTCAACACGAATACCCGCCCTCCATTTTGCTCTCTCCAAAGCCATACCCTCATCCAATCCAAGAAGAAGCATATCACTTCTGACTCCCCTAACCCACGTCTGTTTGGGCCTTCCTCTCCCTCTCTTCCCTACCTCTTCTCCACACATCTCAACTCGTCTGACAGGTGCATCACTCGGTCTTCTATGCACATGACCAAACCACCGTAGGCGTGACTCCCGCATCTTATCTTCAATAGGTGCTACTCTCACCCTTTGTCTAATTGTCTCATTCCTCACGCGTGCTGAATTGTGTAATAAGCAGAAAAAGTAAGGTTGTAGTTACTTTTCTGGCTGTATTGGCTGAAGTTACTATAGATGACCATTTTAGCTATTTTTACATATAATTTTTTCTTGGCTAAAGGGTCAAATAGGCCCTTGAAATAGTTTAAAGTGTTCAATTAGCCCCTTATATAGGAGGTTCTGTCCAACCAACGCCAATTGGGGTGGTTCCCACTGGAATTTTTTGATGAATTTTTTTGAGCATCTTCTTCATTAATCCTAGTTTACCCATACCAAATTTTAGCTAAAACGTCAACCGGGAAGGCAATCAAATGATTTTCCGAAATGTATTGCGCTGTTTAACTGCGCAGTTATCTTCAAAAATTCATTTGACTGCCTTCCCGATTGAATTTTTTGCTGAAATTTGGTATGGGTAAACTACAATTAATGAAGAAGATACTCAAAAAATTTCATCAACAAATTCCACCGGGAACCGTCTCAATTGGCGACGGTCGGGCAGAACCTCCTATATAAGGGGCTAATTGAACACTTTAAGTTAGTTCAAGGACCTATTTGACTCTTTAGCCTTTTTTCTTTATTTTATCAATAAAATATATTTTTAAAATATTTTTTTCTAGAATCAGCAGAATCAGCCAAAACAGCCACTTCAGCCAGAACTTCATAAATTTCAGCAGAAACAGCCAAAACAGCCGATTTTCGTGCTACCAAACGGGCTCTAAATAAAAAAAAGTAGTTGTAATAGTGTATTATTTTAAGAATTATTGGGGGTATTATGAGAAGATTTAGAAATGGGAAGATTTTTTTGTTACGGACGAAAAAGAAAAGTGGGAAGATTTTTTAGTTACGGAGGAAGTAAGGATTATTAGTTTATTTTATTCCAAACTATCGGCAAATTGACAAATCTATCATATACTTTCACTTCTTTCAAATAAAAGACTCAACTTCTATCAATACCAATACGATATAAGCAATACAAGTTTGTAAACTTAAAACTAAAAGAAGTTAAAAGATATGAAATATAAATATAATTTTATTCTTAATTTTTACTAATCCGTAATTGAGAGAAAAGTTGAAGTTTGAGTCTTTTTTAATAAAAGTAAAAGTGTAGGATAGATTGTATTGTAAGTTTGTAATTAGGAAGAAAAATAAAAAATCAATTTTTTCTCAAAACACTATCAACTTATTACTTATACTACTAACCATTTTTCCTAAATCACTTCAAAAATCCGGGAGGGCTCAAACCCACCTCGATTTTTTTGTTTTTACTAGCAGTGTATATAAAAAGTTTGATTAAAAAAATAACTTAATGTTTAATGTTGGTTAAAGTTCTAGACCGGTTTACACCATTAGACCATTTGTAGTGGAGAGATTTTAGGAGTCCAAAAAGTTAAAAATGAAACTTTTGGACTCCTAAATGTGTGTAGTGGAGGATTGAGAGAGGTCTTAAAATTGGGTAAGGGGTTGAGGGTCTTATTAATAGAGGGTGTATTGACTCTCAAATAATGATGTCATCCCCGTGTCATTAAACCTCAAATTTTTTGAAACCTCTTATAACTTTTTTAATTGTATTCCAGATTTTTCAAAAAACATATCAAAATTCATGAATTTTCGTGATCTTTCATATGATACCAATATGTAATATATAAAATAAAATAAAAAATCTCAACTTTTAAATACGTTGAAGTTTTTCTGAGTCCAGAGAAAAGATGAATCACAAATTTTTAATTCATGAAGCATTCTCAAATAACTGAATATTTCATAATCACAGTTTACTTGAACTAAGTTCATTTTTTGAACCGAAAAACATTTAAAAAATTAATGAAATTTATTTATTTTTAAATCAAAATGTGTATTTTTTATTTCATAATTATTTAGGGAAAATATTAAAAGTAAAACATTACTTATAATAATTTAATTAATGTTTTACTAAATTGTTATGTAAAAAATATATGCTGAGTGTATTTTATTGACGGCGCACGGATGCAGGAAAATATAGTATTGACGGAGTCTAAACACCGTTTTCACATGGACGGAGTCCAAATTTAACGATTTAGACTCTTGACCGGTCTTATACTGTATAACTCAATGTTTTTGTTTTGCATACTAAAAAAAGTTTTCCCTTCAGTTTTTACAATAATTATTAATGCTATAAGGACGAATATAATTAATACGCAATGTTTAGTTCTTTACTTTAATCATCATTCTAAAAAAATTAATTTGCTTAATCAATCAATTTGAGATCGAGAAAACTAGAAGAGCCATATCATTGCGGGGTGGATCGAGTTTGATCAGGTAAAAGGCTTATTCGGGCGCCTGCAGTACTTTGGTGCTTGACCTGGAATGAGTACTCAAAACTGGTTATTTTAAAATATTATTGGAACCATTGCTTCCACTTTTGTTTTTAAAAATGAAAAATACAAGCTTCGCTAAGAATTTGAAATTTGAAACCGAATTGAAGCTAAACCGGTCTAGAACTTTAATCAATTTTCCCAATCAAGTTTTTTTTTTTTTTTTTTTTTTTTTTTTTTTTTTTTTTTACTTTACCAGCCCGGAATATAATCAACCATGAATTATGATTGTAATTATAAAATTATAAGTATTTGGCCATTTGGGCTTGGATATATTATTTGTGTTGATTATTTTGTGCAACACCTACTTATGTGACTTTCTTATTTGGTGTTGTTGATAACTTAATATGCAAGTGAAGTTGTGAAGAGCTTATATAGCACTAATGGTTAACAATTGGGAAAGTTCCCGAAATAGAACTAAATTTTGTCAAATTTAGTTCCCAATTGTCAAATCATTTTTAGCTTCAAATAAATTTTGTTTAGTATAACCTTCAAAGCGTATCAGCTATTATGCAAATAAGCCGAAGAAAGCTTGGTATAATCCAACCAAGAATCCGAGGCAAATAGTCAGAAGTATCTCATGCATGACTCATGCCCAAGGCCGGCCAACCAGGGCCGGCCATGGGGGGAGGTAGCCTAGACATTTGTCTAGGGCCTCCAAATTTGGTAGGGCCTCCATTTTAAAAAATAATAATATTATATATACCTTAAATCTTTAATTAAATTAATTAAAATACTTAAAAATTAGTGTAGAAAAAAATATTTGCATCAACGTATCTTTTTTCACCGTAGCAAATTAGTATAGATCTAAATAAGAGTGAATAAAATATGTCTTTTTATACTTTAGTGGCTATAACTTTAATAATCATGATTGTGTTAACTATAATGCATATGCATAGACAATAATTCAATATCCTAATTCAAGTATATTTAGAGAGATAGGTTTGATGTGTACGCATATAATATACTGAGTTATAAATGTATTATTTTTAATATTTTATTATCAAATTGTCACTTAAGAGGGTTAATTGTTCTCTAAAATAGAAAGTGAAAACATTTAGTTGAAATGTCTAAATTAGGATGTCCTTTAAATTTTTAGGCCCCAATCCTCCCCCAATTTGTAAAATGGTTATATATTTTTATATGTTAAAAGATTGTGTAAAAGATCATCAGGAAAAAACTAACCAAGCCACGTTAATATTTCTTTCTGGCTATGTCATTCCTATTTGTTTCTTATTATAGTTTTGTATTTTTTACTAAAAAATATATTGAAGTTATACTCTCTCTACTCCGCTAAAATTGTCTCATCTTTCGTTTTCAGCCTATGCATTAAGAATGTCACATATCAAATTTGACAAAATTTGTGTGGTTCTAAATCATACTTACTTTATCACTTCAATATCAAACACATAAACTAGCTTTTCTTAATAATTACAAAACTTTATCATAACCTAGCGTTAGTGAGACGTGAGTACGTTGTATCTCATAATTAAATACGAAGTATTATTTGGTTGTCTAGGGCCTCAAAATTGCTCTAGACGGCCCTGCGGCCCACCCTAGACGTTCACATGACTAGTGCTTTCCAATTTGGGTAGAAAATAGATGTTTGCTTGAAATGATGAATATGGTTTTAAGGGACTGTTTAGTTTGATAAGACATAAGAGATAACACCTATACATATTATATTACGTATAAAAGCTAGTTGTTAGTTGCAGAAGAACATGAAGAATATTATAAAAAAAGGGTGTAAAATAAAACATACGAAGTATTTACCATATTCCAGGATTGCTACACTAGTTAAAATAAAAAGGAAGCGATCAGAATGGCAATAGTGATTGTTTCAACTCGGCTTCTCATGGCATTCAATTTTCTCCTCCCTCACCTCTTCCTCTCCGTGATGCTCCTGCTACTATCATGACCGGGAATGACCCTATCTTCCCGGACATGCCCGAATTGTGGGAACCACTCTGTCCCTTACCCACTCAGCATGAGCTCCGGTTGCGGCGATCAGCGATACAAGATTCGCTACAACGACGGGGAGCTGTTATTCGATACCCTTAACAACACCTACAAGATGTCATCCATCACGCCGGAGTCCTAACATCTGACAATTGAGACATCACCATTCTTACCGCACGCCTGCATTACAAAAGATATCTCGATAGCTGGCATCCGCCTCGACTCCTCCCTCCCGTTCAATATTACTAGCAGCAACACAGTTTTGTTCCTTAGCTGTACGGAAACTCTTTTAGACGCGCCCTTAAACTGCTCTTCTAGTAGCATATGCTACACCTACATCAATCAAAGCCTCAATGTCGGCAACCCCATCAGCACGTGTTCTAGGGCCCCAATCTGTTGCAGTTTTAGAGTTGGCGGGTCCGCGACGGCTGACAAGATCCGTGTTAGGATGGTATGTTGTCGCGCCTACCGCGTCTTTGTTAACCTAAATGAGTCTTTGTCCGTCCATCAGTGGCCCAAACCCGCTGTGGAATTTGAGTGGACGTCGTTGTTAGAGCCTCGATGTAGCTCCCAATTGGAATGTGATTCGAATCTACTTGTGGACTGGACAAATATGGCGTCAGCAGGTCCTTGTGCACTTCGGGGCGAAGCAAGAACCCCATCCTTGGCTCATGTACTCTCGTTAAGATTTTGTCATGCTTCTTTTGCATGCAATAGAACGGTTTTGCATGTTAATTGTTCTGTAGAACATCTGGTGCAATAGAACATCTTTTACATAAGCATGTTAGTTGTTCTATTGCATGTAAAAGATGCATGAAAAAATCTTACCGAGAGCACATGAGCCAAGGATGGGGTTCCAGCTTTGCTTCGAAGTGCACAAACACCTGCTGACACCATATTTGTCAAGTCCACAAGCAGATTTGGAATCACATTCCGATTGGGAGCTAGATCGAGGCTATAATGGCGACATCCACTTGAATTCCACCTCGGGTTTGGGCCACTGACGAATGGGTAAAGACTCGTTTAGGTTAACAAAGACGCGGTAGGCGCAGCAAGATGCCATCCTAACCTGGATCTTGTCAGCCATCGCGGACCCACGAGCTCTAAAACTGCAACAGATTGGGTCCCTAGAACACGTGCTGATGGGGTTGCCGACATTGAGGCTTTGATTGATGTAGGTGTGGCATATGCTACTAGAAGAGCAGTTTAAGGGCGCGTCAAAAAGAGCTTCTGTACAGCTGAGGAACAAAAGTGTGTTGCCGCTAGTAATATTGAATGGGAGGGAGGATTCGAGTCGGATGCCACCTGTCGAGATATCTTCTGTAATGCAGGTGTGCGGTAAGAGTGGTGATGTCTCGATTGTTAGACGTTGGGACTCCGATGTGATGGATGATATCTTGTAGGTGTTGTTAAGGGCATCGGATAACAGCTCCCCGTTGTTGTAGCAGATCTTGTAGTGCTGGTTGCTGCAACCAGAGCTGGTGCTGAGTGGGTAAGGGACATAGTGGTTCCCACAATTCGGGAATGTCCGAAAGGATAGGGTCATTCGCGGCTATGATAGTAGCAGGAGATTCACGGAGAGGAAGAGGCAAGGGAGGAGAAAACTGAATGCCATGAGAAGTTGAGTTGAAACAATCACTACTGCAATTCTGATCTCTTCCTTTCTATTTTAACTAGTGTAGCAATCCTGGAATATGATAAATATGTTTTATTTTACACCCTTTTTTATAATATTCTTCATATTCTTCTACAACTAGCTTTTATAAGTAATATAATATGTATAGGCATATTATATCTCTTATCAAACTAAACACTCCCTCAAAACCAAATTCATCAATTCAAACAAACATCTATTTTCTACCTAAATTGGAATGCACTAGTCCTGTGAACGTCTAGGGTGGACCAATCATTGGCCATGAGATACTTCTGACTATTTAATGTAGTTTCTGTATATGTAATTTTATTCTCTAAAAATAATTTGAGAGCGGACAGGGATCTTGTTGACTATTTAGTTTTGTTGATGACTAATCATATTGGAACAAGGGAAAGAACGGTCTTGTCACTAACCATGCATGTAGCACTAGTATGGGTTCTCGAAAGAACCATAGATGGAACTACTCTACGTTCTGAATGAGTCATTTATGTCTACGTAACTAAAGTGTGACACATGCATGATTTACGTGGCATTATTTAAATTAAGCTTGCATGTGTATATTGACTTTTATAAATTAACCTTTATGGAAGGAATCCTTACTTATAAATGCTTTGGTGACCGTAACATGATCTGTACTCCTTTGTAATTTGAAAAGGATCATCATTAGGTAAAAGATTAATTGAATATCTATATGGAAAGATTCTTTAATGCATCCACTTAGAAAAGGAAAATTGTTCTTAAGTGAATCCTTTTGTAAAGAATAATTCCCTACCTTTTTGGAGTTGACCGAAGCTTTCCTTCTTGGTAGTAAATCCAAGAAGCTTGGAATATCCCCACCATTAATTAATCCCACGTGATTTGAATGATTAATTTATATTTATACACTTGGTGCGTGATTGATATACTACCTTGATTATAATATTTTGGATGTCTTAATTTGGATACCTCATATTGAGCTCGGATATGGGAAACATTATGGATGGAAAACAATTCAAAAATATCAAGAAAAGTCCAAGTATCCAACTAAGGAAAGAGGAGCCAACGAACGTCACACATAAGGCTATATATTTGACGAAAGGTGAATAGAAGAGGGTGTGCTTGACCTAGGGAATACTAAGAGATATACACGTGATAAATACCAAGTCCAAGCCATATGAACCTGCTCACAGAGTGATGGAGTATATGGCCCAGGAACCCCCGACCCAGAGACTCCTACTTCTCCTACAAAGGCCCATTGAGCCCGTGAAGCGTCCGAAGCCCAAATACAGTGGCCCAAGTTCAAGGAAGCCCAAAATTCACACTGGGGTGCCTTCGGCCACCTTGGCCGAAGGCTCCAAAACTCACAACATAGACTTTTTTGGCATACGAAGTTACTGGGAGAAAACAGGAGCCTTCGGCACTGAACAGCCCTCGGCATCAGAGAAGCCTTCAGCTGAACTAAGCCTTCGGCTACACAGAGCTTTCGGCTAACAGGGGCCCTCGGCCACTTGAAGCCCTCGGCCACGCGAGGAGCCTTCGGCTAAACAGACTCAATCATCGAAGATTCCCTTTGGAGACAGCCAACCACCGCATTTAATGCGACGTCACATCCACCTACCGCATTCAATGCGGTGAACATGCCACTGCCGGTGCCACCCGATTGATATGACCCCTCAGCCATTGGATTGTTGACACGTGTACTCTCATCGCATTTATTGCTGCTATAAATAGCAGCCCTTATCCTCCTTGTAAACCACGCTGAGTTCATTTAATAAAATCGACTCCTCCTATTTGCTCTGACTTCTCTCTAGTTATTCCCGCAATAACCCCTCGGATAAGATACCCCCTGGGTAGACTATCCATCACAGAGTTTTAGATAGAGTTTTCATTTTCATATTCTAATTGGGTTATTGAGGATTAGCTAAGTGTAGCTTCCTCGTGTTGGGTTAAGTGTTTTGTGAGAGCTTTGTTGTAAAGCTGAGGGACACTCTACCCGCAAGGTAGAGATGCATAACTCTTCCTTGAGAGGATAGAGTTTGAGTGGCTCAAGGGTAGACTAGGAGAGTTTCCCTTGTAATCATTCAAATGCTTTTTAGTGAAGTTGTTTAAAATTCCTCCGAGGGAGGTCGAGGTTTTTTAATCCCTTTGAGCCAAAGGGGTTTTCCTCGTTAAATCCTTGTGCACTTTACTATTTTGCATTTCCCCTTATCCCATACTAGAACTTGGCAAACAAATGCCACGGTTCCACACACACAATTCACCCCCCCCCCCCCCCCCCCCCGTGTTGCTAACCGTTTCATCATATCTGTTTGCTTTATAGCCGGGCAAGCATAGTAAAACGAATTGTCTCAATCTTAGTGGGATGGAGGGAGTACTATTTAAATAAAATTCGTAATAAATAAATAAATAAATAATTTATGTTGACAAATATACCATTTAGGTCATATCTATAAAACTCTACCATTTAGGTCATATCTAGCGACGAGAAGTAGAAAGGCGCTATCTTCCAATACGTTTCGATAGTTCGTCTTTGGCCTTACTCTTCTCCTGCAGCAGTGATCCAAACTATCTGATGGTGATACTAACGCTCAAAGATTCTTGGTATAGGTATGACCCAATTGGATTGCTCTTCTTTTCTGGTTGTGTTGATTTTGTTCTTCTTTCCGGGGCACTGGTGCTCCGGGCTGTTTTGTCCCTCTCGATGTGGGGAGTTCTACTGGTGTTCTGGCTAGCTTCGTCTGGTTAGAGATTTCTGTCTGCCTTCTTTTAGAGTGCGTAGACATTGGTAGAACTCGTTCTCCTCCAGAACCACCTACGTGTGAAGAGTTTTAATATTATTTTTCATTAGTAGTAATACTTTTTTATTTTAGTTTGAGTAGGTTTGGTTTGGAAAATTGTACTTCTGGTGTTCGTTTGATAGACAGACATACAATATTTCAGTCACGATTGTTTTAGGCGTTAAATTGTTAGTTTCGTGTCTAGCGAATCATGTTACTTTGTATAAGTTGATTGATTCTAAATATTATTATGTATTTTTTTTAAATATAAAAGTCAATCCTTTAAATTAAAAAACAAAACTACTCCGTATTAGTCTTTTTTGTTGAGAAGGGAGTATCAATATTCAATAGTACACGTTTCTGAAATATTGATTGTCGACGGCGTCATTCGTCAGCTCTGATTGGGAAGTCAACGGGTATATCCTTTACCACGTTTGTTTTCAAAAACAGCCAATACTTGGATTCTTTGTTTAATGAAAGTTCAATGAATAGGTCAACATATATATGCTATCCAGTATCCACAATCAATGGGCAAGTAGTTGATCCTTGATAGGCGTGACTAGTTCCTCTCAAAACTCCAAAAAATTATGCTCCAAAAATTACAAATTAACTAAAATTAGGGTTGTTGGACTATGCAGTATGCACATGCTATATCGGTCTCAATATACTCCCTCCGTATTTTAAAATTTGTTATACTTTCATTTTTTTGGATGTATTTAAAAGTTTGCTACACTTTTCTTTTTTAGTAAGTTTTTTCTTTAAAAATATCCAATTACTCTTACTTTTTCTATTTTTTATCTTCTCTTTCATATTTTTTCATCTTCTCTCCTACTTTATCTACACTATTCATTACTCCTATTATTTCACTCTTAAATGTTGTGCCCAAACATGATGCAGAGAACTTTGAAATACGGAGGAAGTATTCTTTTTCATCAAAATATCAAGAATCTAATCACATTTTCATTTGTCTTCATATTTAAAATTCTGATTTTTTATTCTTATTCAATTACCTTCTTATCCTTCATCAAATATTAATAATCTAATCACAATTTCATTTCTCTCTTTATCAATTCAAAACTGAAGTAGTATATCTAAAATTAAAATTTATATTGGTAATTGAAGATCCGCAACATTCCTTCAAGTTATATATCTTATATTAGACAATTTATATTTCGACTTACTTCATGTTACATTTATTTTAATGCCACGTATATTTTAATTTGCCTCAAGTTACATTTCAATTAACACGATTTATATTTCGACTTATATGAAGTTACATTTTGCATACACGCCATTTAGAAATTTACATTTCATATATGAAAGGGTAGAGAATAAACATTGAGGCGGAAGGATCGGAGTAGCGTGAGTTACATTAAAGTGCACGAGTTACATGTACCGCTAACTGGAATTACATTTATATGAAAACGACTTACATTTTAGTACAAGAGATTTACTTCATAAAAAATATGGAGGCCACGCCAGAATTTACTGTTCATCCACATTTTTTGTTAAAACTTAAATGATATGACATTGTTTTAGCTGTGGGAGAATGATGCACACCATGAGCCCCTCACACGGCATAACAACTGATAAATTAAATAATTGAAACAATATTCTAAAAACTACTCCCTCCTTCATACTAAATTTGGTATAAATTAATCTGTTGTGTTTATTTAAAAATGAGTTTACTTGGTTAATATTTAGTTGATAAAGTATGAATAAAAAAATAGAATCACACAAACATTACCAAACTTTGGATGAAACAATCTTAATGGAACACACCAAAATGAAAAAATGAGATCATTTTAACGGGACAAAATGAAAAATCCAACTATGAAGCAACTTAATAATTGGTGGTATAGCCAGAAAAAATATCAAGCTGATGAACTGAGCATGCAGATTTGATGCGAGTTTTAAGATAATAAATGATAAAGTGGTTGTTTTACCATTCTAATCTCAAAAATATAAGAACAAGAGAAAAAGATCCACCAAAATTAAAGAGTGAAATGATATATAAGGGATAAAGTGGAAACCCAAAAAGTTAGTGGAGTCCAATTTAGAAAAATGACCATACTTTAAGCAGTACAATGAGCATTTGTACGATTATGATTATAATTTTATTTAAATTATATTTGTAATTGCAATTATAATAATTATAATTATAATTATAATTATAATTATAATTATAATTATAATTATAATTATAATTATAATTATAATAGAAATATTCAAATCAGATCAGATCAGAAAGATTCAGATCAGATCAGATCAGATCAGATCAGAAAGATTCAGATCAGATCAGATCAGATCAGATCAGAAAGATTCAGATCAGATCAGAAAGATTCAGATCAGATCAGATCAGAAAAATTCAGATCAGATCAGATCAGAACTTAAAAAATTCAGATCAGAAACATTCAGATCAGGCGAACAGAAGAGCTTCTTAGTACTGAAGTTTGGGAAATGAAGTAGAGCGATGTGTGTTTATTCTAAGAAGCCAAAAACAGTCCATATATTTTGACCGCGTTTGGTAACCTTATTTTGAACATATCAGTATTATTATTTAGAAGCTGTTCTCTTCGCCTGATCTGAATGTTTCTGATCTGAATTTTTTAAGTTCTGATCTGATCTGATCTGAATAAAATAAGAATAAGCAATAAGTAATAAGAATCAGACGAACAGAACAGCACCTTAATGTTTCACAAAAAACGTGAATTTGATTTTGTGCGCTAATTGTGTGATAACCAAAAGAAGTAAGACTGAAGTTATTTTTGTGACTGAATTGACTAAACTTACTCAAAAGGATAATTTTAGCTATTCCAATATTTTTTTTAAATTTTATTAATAAAATATATTTTAAATATAATATTTACATAATGTATCATATTGAACCACTTCAATCCAATTTCATCAATTTCTTGTTTTTATTATTCTTGTTTAATTCATAGTATTTTCAACTATTTAAGTAGTGGTACAAAAAGCTTTTGACTTTAAGTTTATACAAAAATTTTGAGAATTAAATATAAAGAGAAACTGAAAATTAAAAAAGTTGGAAGGTCAAAAGTTGGACGAATGGGATTGCAATTTATCAATTGCAATATGGATTGCAATATCATTTACTTTGTCATTTATTTGATGTCATGTGTCAATTATTTGCTTCAAAGGAAGTGCCACATGTCAAAACTTCCTTCATTGGTTCTTCTAAGGATTCCTTTATTATATTATATAGATTAGTGTATATTTCAAAAATATAATATTTAATTGGATTCACATATTGGAATCCATAAGAGTTGATTATAGATACTCTCTTCATCCCATTTTAGTTAGCCAAACTTGACTTTTAAAGTCAATGTTGTCTAACTTTGACCGATTATATATTTATATACAGAAGTATTGATAATATGGAAATGATATGAAAATGTTTTTTGTTAAAAATACTACCATAAAAGTATAAAATTATTAAACTTCGCATAAATATGTTAGATAAAATAATTGGTCAAAGTTTACCATATTTTACTGGAACAGTCAAAGATGGCCAATTAAAATGGGCCGGAGGTAGCATAAATTTTTTGAAAGAAAAAGGACTATTTATTAATACTCCCTCCGTCTCATAAGACTTGGCCATTTTGACTTTTCTTGATCAAAGATGGTCAAGTTTGACCATTGATGTATCTTAATATGAAATTATTTCAAAAATGAAAATTATAAGAAAATATTCTTTGTTACAAATACTTTCATAAAAGTATAAAAGTTATAAGTTTCACATAAATATAATAACTAAACGTTGTTCAAACTTTTTTGCCATTGACCAAGAAAAGTCAAATTGGCCAAGTTTTGCGGGACGGAGGGAGTAATAAATATGATTAGTACAAAAGTAATTATGCCTAAGGCTACAATGGCATCAGACATAAAATTGAATAGTTCCAAGGAACATAACAATTCGCTAACCCCGCACACAATTAGAAAATGTACTAATCTGCGACAGAAAACAAACATATAAATCAGTTTCACCATCCACTTTCCACTTACAAGGAAATAATAGAAAACTTGGTTTGTCCAGCCATCAGAAAGAAACAATTAGAATCCTCAGTTTGACACTTTGACCAGGAACTGGGATGAAATTGAAAATATCATCGGTTTGACCAGCCACCGAAAAGAAGATCCAAACGAACGTTATCTTGCTATCATAGCACGATGGTGGTTCAGGAGGAGACGAATAATTAAGGTCTTAGAGTCGCCAATATATGTCTGAAGTTAACCTCCCAAACAAATCAAGCAGGATAAGCATTGGCATCCACCAATAATAAAATTTCGACACCCGATCGATACCACCGGCGAGGGATACACAATTCCTAGACATTGCTAGGAAGAAACCACATAAAATAACTTGAAAATATTTTAAATCACTGAATCTTAGATATTCTAATTATTTTGTGTCACAAATATAATTTAAGAAACTTTTATAAAATAAAAAATAAGAAAAAGAAATTGAATTAAAACATATGGTGTGAAGATCACGATACTCTATTATACTCCTAATATTCAATCAAATATATCTAATGCTAAATAAGAGTGTATTGATGTTCAATTAACAAAAGTCACAATTTTTAACTTAAATTACAAAAAACAACACAGACTATACGATTTACACCCTACAATCGATTTACGATATACACACTTTTAGAGAACTAGTTGAGCCAAAACTCGTTGTATCCATTATTGCTTGTGGATAAGTTTATTTAATGAGTGTTCTATTGTTTTGAAGGGAAAACACTTAATTAAAACCAATTCGTATAACTTCAGCTTACAATGGATTTGAGATATAGAACTGAAAATTTTGAAAGGAACATAACAATTATTTAACCCCGTAGAGAAATTTGAAACGTATTAAGAAAACAAGAAAAACCCTAGGCGACAGTCTCACGTATGCGAGTTGTTTCTCTCGCGCATGCGAGCTTTTTTCTTGATTTTATGGCTAAATTTCGACAGCTCCCTTCGCACCTGATGGGAGAAGGCTGCCGATTGAGAACGCCGGAATATGTGGGTGATTGATGGATGCTTGAAGGGTAAGGGGCAGGCTTGGTTCTTGGCGGACAAAGAGGAATTCTGGGCGATGGTGATGTAAGCTTTCGACTGGTTTAGGTTGGCACTTTCCTCATGAAAGAGCCCCGCCGCGCCTATACGATGAAGATCAGGGACAAGGCCAAGG